GTAATATAAGTGATGAGTTAATTTCTCAGTTCTCCGTGTTATCTTATTCTTATCAATCCTACATTGATATGTAGAAAATGCAAGTTCCAAGAGCCCATATATTCCCCAGAAGTGGAAATTGAAGAACTCATGGGCAAAGAACGAAGTGGACATGATAACAAGAATATTGGTTATGTATGTTACCATTGTAATGGAAAAATGTATTTGTCTCGTACTCGTTGTACGCAAAAGGCCTTATTCTATCAAGAATCAAAGGAAAAAAGCAAATTTATATATTCTCCTGCAATATCAATATTATGGAAAAATATTTTTTGTACTAAAAGCTGGTATATTCTCCATTAAAGAGGAAAATGATATTGCACTTGAAAAATTTTCATTTCTAGAAGTGAATGAAACAATCTATTCCCCGAAGTGAATGGAGCTATAAACATAATTATATATATGTTAAATGTATTGTTTGGATCTTTTCACCAGAAGTGAGAAAAGAAGAGAAATAGGAGAATTATAAATAAGAATGATTCAACAATTGCATTATCAAAGTCCATATAGCATAATGTACCCGTTGTACATTAAAATGTATAATGAAACAGACATATATTTCTCTATCAACCCTGAAGGTAAATATAGTCACCTAGTTGGTGATGGTAATATTCCAAATAAATCCTATTCAAATTTGGTACTAGTTCATTGATTTCAAAAGTAATTCTTTTTTATTTATTATGCTTTATTGCACTAAAACTTCTATTATTTTATTAATAAAGAATTAGTTACATTATTACTTATATCTTAACGTAGAGATATTCTCCTTGTTGTTAGTATAAAGTTCTTATGAAGCATGAATATTTACAAGAATAAATATTCGTATTATATCATATACTACAAAAGTAAATAAAAGTTTCGGAAGAGTGTATGTTTTGATTACTTGAAGTAACTAACTTATATATGAGTGAAAACAAATATTGTGACTTCACACTAATTAAGTCATGGGAAAAATTTAGTACCAAAGTATGTAAAAGCTTTAGAAGAACTCATGTTTTATGTGATATGTTAGTACTATCTGTACACATAAAAATGTAAACCCGAAGTTTACAAGATTTGATAACTTGGTAATTTGGTTGGTCCGGTTAAACCATCCTAGATCATGATGTGAAAAAAAATTCTTTGAGAATTCATGGGAACATCATATGAGAAGTCAAAGAACTCTTCAACTAAAAAGTTGTTATAGCATGCTTGTTCTCAAGGAGAATAGAACAATTAATCATCGCTTGTAAAAAAGTTGGCAAATCTCTTGAGATATTATGAACGTGTATGCAGAACAATACATCAATCATGTGGATCATTTTTGAATTTTATGGGTTGATGCATCAAATGGATGATCACATGTATTTTATGTAATCGCAACCCGATGTTTGCGATATTGGTTGACTCATTAGCTATGGATACATTGTGATGATTATCCAATCAAACATCACTTTGCTTAAGAGAACAAGTTGAGCCTTCCGATCTCTTGTCGAGGACATGCTAGTTGGCAAGTGATAGGTTTGGTTCGCATCTAATCAACAAGTTATCATAAGTTTCCCACCTTTTACAAATGGTTTTGGTCAGAAACCTAACATATGAGAATATCAGGGTGTGTCACATGCATCCCAATTGCTCCACCACAGTATCTTAAGTTGATTCTCGTTGGAAATTGAAAAATTGTGTTGGTTATCAATCGCAAATGGGAAATTTGTTTGCAAAATTATTGTTTTGATGAATCACTTTCCCAACATTAAGGTGGAGAGGAAAAACAACTAGACAAAGAGATGAGTTGGAATGAGTTATCAATATTTAATTTTGATCCTCAAAGTTAGAAACATGAACCTGAAGTTCATAAGATGAATTATCATTACCAACTAGCAAATGCATTTACTGGCCATACAAAATGACAAGTCACGTACACTAGTTGTGAATGCTCCAACAAAATTTAATATCCTTGTTGGATACTCTAATATTAAAAATGTCTCTGAAAGAGCGCATGAAGCGTGATAGACCAATAAGTTCCAATGATAAACATCCTCGAGAAAGAAAAGGAGCTATAATTAGAATGGTCAACTTGAGGACATGAAAACTCAAAAAGACTAACCAAGAATAAAGTAAGATTTCAGTTCCAGAAGAGCACATGTGTCTGAAAGCTATGAAAGCGAAGAGATCTCAAAACATATTGGAATACAATCCTGGAACCGTAATGAAGTCATTGTCGATAAAATTTGTTGTACTTCAGTACTGAATATTATATATGCAAGTAAGGATCAAGAGTAAAACTCTACTGATGCATGCAAATGATGATGTTATTGGCCAATATAGAAAAAAATCACGAAACTTGCTCAAAGAGCATAAAGTTTAAGGACCAGAAGTCCTTACACCTGAAAAGGGTAAAAATAGCGGGATACAAACAAATTTTTATGCTATTAGAAAGTATGAAATTGTGAGAGATATAGTACAATGTTTTGCAATGGGTTTCGCTAAGTATCATTGTTTGAGATGAGTTAAGCTCCCCTGTGGTGGATGCAACTACTTTTTCAAATCAATGTTTAAATCTATGTTTGAAAATTGTTGTGATAGCCTATTTATTTGAATTCCATGAAGATGTTATATATATTTGAAACTCCCAGAAGGATTAATTTACCTGAAGTAAATAAGTAAAGTTCTCGAGAACATATATCGATAGACTAAGAAAATCCATTGTATGGGTTGAGAGAATATAGACGAATGTGAAATACTCGTCTAAGTGAACACCTACAACAGTAGGGTGAATGGACCTTAAAAGGTTAAATCCGGATATAGTCATTAGAGCATTTGCATTGTGCATATATAGTTGTGTTGTCTGTATGTGCTTCAAGAATTTTAAATTCTTGATTTATGAGTTGTGATTTACTTTAAAGTATGAATTGTGTTTTATGAGTGTGCTTTGTCTAGTTCATATGTTTCTATGATGTGTGTTTTGTTAATATCTTTCGTGATATGAAAGAATTGCTTGATTCAATTTGTTTTAGTTTAGTTTTTTTTGTGACGATCTCATATTATGTTGATGATATGACTATTATTGGAGCTCCTGAAGAGCTTCCTAAAGAAGTTGAATGCTTAGAGACATAAGTTAAATTGAAGGATTTAAGATCCTTTTTATGAGCAAGGAAGGTAATGTTGAAAAAGTGGAAAATAATTTTGCATGAGCAAATTGTGTTCATCAAATAACATTGGATACTAAGATTATTAGAAGTGACCAAAGATCCATTTAGACATCAAGAAAGAAGTGAAACATTATGTCCTGAAGTACTATATGTTGATGTACTAGGTCCTGAAGTGCCATATGTTGATGCATCAGAGCACCAATGCACATTGCTAGCCAAACACCATATAAATTATCATTTTGGTGTTGATAATATTAGCAAGATACAATGTTTCCCTCATTTGAACATTAGAAAATACTTTGTTACCTCCGGGAAAATATATGTGATTACTCTATTATGGTATTATCAAAGAGATATTTGGTGAACTATATATCCAAATCATATATACCATTTGATCCTCATATTGGTTGATCGGAGACGAGCTATCTCTTACACATGGTGATATAATTGTTTCATAGAGAAACAAAACAAACTATAGTAGGCAAGTCCTGAATGTATTTCATTTCACTTTGTGATTCATCGTATCTAAAGGACATGTGGTTGTGAACTATTTCGAAGGAAATGATCCTGGCGATCATGTATGAAGAAAGTCTAAAGATCATGCATCAAATTGACAATCTAGAAGATTGTTCACTAACTCACTCCCGACAAAAATCTTTCTAAAAGTTGTTCGTGAATTTGAGTTTAATGACTCAAAGATTTGAAATGAAGTGGTCATGAGGGGGAGCATATACGCACTTAGGGGGGGGGGGAAGTTTGGTACCGGTATTTGGGATATACTGAATACCGTACCGAATTTGTCTATGTTTGGTATTACCAAATACACGTATTATTTCTTGGGATTGGGATTGAGATTCAATTTCAATTGTTATTCGGTATTAGGGATTACGGGATTAGGATCGGTATATACTGAAATATCGAACAATGCCGAAATATAAGCCAGTGTGTAGCTTATCCTCTCAACTAGACTCTCTCATTCACTAGTACACTACCCTCAACCACCAATCTATTGTTATTTTCATAACACCAAAAAGCAAACACTAGTATTAGTCTTCTCTTAGCCTCCAATTCGTCAAATTAAAGATTTCAATGACAAAAACTTGAGATGTCACCTCTACTCGATTCTCCTTATCTATATCCTAGCTCTAGTCAAACTCAAAGCTCTTTGTTTAGTCTTTTTGTCCTATATTAAACAATCATATCTAATTTATATATTAATTATAAATGTAATTAATTTCGTATTCGGTAATATCGATTGGGATACCAAAATATTTAGGGATTGAGATTGGGATACCGAAATTATTTAGGGATTGGGATTGGGATTGATTCTAGGGTATAATTTGGTACTCGGGATTTCGGTATTTGGTATTGGGATACCGATATCGTACCGATTTCCAACCCTATACGCACTACACTCTTTTTCCCTTCACCATGGTCTTTTCCACTAGGTTTTCCTGGTAAGGTTTTTAACGAGGCAGTATGAGATAGCGTAATGCAATCTAGTGGTCATCCAAGGGGGAGTATTATGTAAATATTGATATATGGATGATCATTGCCATTACCACATTAGATGCTCACTTGGGAGTAACCCCTATTCCGACATTTGATAGCTCATTTATGTTTCATTATCTCTCATTTATATAAGGATGTAGTGGTTACCAAAGTGTGTCTATAAATAGAGCAAAACATTTGTATCTAAAGTGAAGAATGAATAAGAAGAACTATTCTCCTCTCTTCTCTTGTGTCTTTCCCTCTCTAATATCCTCTTGTAGTTGTTGATATTTTCCATTAGTTTTATAACAAATATTAACAAATATCAAATTAATGGCCATGTGGAAGCCATTTTTAGTTAGGGTTTTTTAATTATGTCCTTCGGTTCATTCCTCATCGCTGGCGCTTTGAATTTATTAGGTTCTAATTTAAATATTCAAATTTAGAATTTTTAGTTTGAATTTTGAGAGACTTATACAATAAGATTGAGTAATGTCGCATCTAATAAGTGGGTTCAATATTTAGGGCTGTATATTTTGCTCTAGACTCTACTATAACACTTTTAACTCGATAATGTAATATTTGTATTGTGCTTTCTCTCTCTCGTTTATGGATGTACATATTTCGGGAATCAGATCAAACCAATATATGATCTATATTGAAAATAAAGGAATAATGATGACTAGAATCAAATGAAATTTAAACTTATTTGATTTAAAAGTAAATTCGTCCTAATTTAAATGGTCAACAAGAGAATAAAAAAGTTTTCAAACATTATATTTATCGGTATGAAATGTTTTTTCAATCAATATTTTTTAAAATTTTATTCAAACTATTCAAATGTTTTCAGTGACTAGTTGAGACCCTGGCCAAAAATGGCATGAGACCTTTATTTTCCTAACTGATAACATCTTCATTTTTATATTGATCCATACATAATAAAAAAAATCTTGGTTTATTTCATTGTTAATGAACATCTGACTTGGTATATATGATTCAAATGTTTGTGTGACAGGGATAATAACTTATTTTCCTTTGAATGATATAGTCAGCATATAACTTTCATTGGTTGTTTTAATCATACTCGTATGTATAGGTATTTATAGAACCTATTGTACGATGTAATCATATCCACGAACACTCTTCATCATTCATAGTATATCTTAGATCAATAATAAAAATGTTATACGTTGTGAACCTTATTTATAATAGTTAATCATAAATTTATAATCTGATTCAATTATAAATAACCTTTTATTTTTAAAAAATTATTGAAAAATAGCAAATTAGTAGTGTTTGTGAAACCGTACCGATGGTCCAATAAGGAAAACACCATACGCCTAAACCGGTCAATGATTTTTAACAATATGAAACAATTGAACTACGCTTTCAGCACAAAATATCAAACCAATACCTTTCTTATTGTAACCTCATAAGAGTTTTCAATTTTGCAAATTCCCAAAGCCAACAAAATTTCAAAAAGAAAGAAATGCAACTAAATACTTAACTAATCATTCCACATTATGTATAATCACTATATAATACTGCAGACAATTCATCCAAGTTGGAAGGTGAGAACGAGCAATGCAAATCATCATACAATAATGCACAAACAAAATATGCTTATGAAGATGACATGACATTTCCAGCACGTTTCTGCTTTCTCTGGGGTATGGCCGCCTTGTAATAGGAACCCCCAACCATAAAGTTAGGTAGAATGATTAATGGCCAGAAAAGGAAAGAAAGGGACTTGGCGCCCCGTGGTCCTATAAAGCTGCTGGATGAATTGTTATTAGGTTAGAAAGGTTTTGTGCTTTCTTCATGTGCACTGTTATACAACATTGTCGACACGATTTGAGGATCATAGAAAAATGGGTTGAGGGTTGGAGGAAAAAAAAAAGCATTATTATTATTCTACACCTCTTTGATTTATATTCAGTGAAAAAAGTAGTTTGATTTATTTTTTAACCTTTTACTATTTTCCATCAATTTTTACTATTTTCATCTCACTTCCTATCTACTGCATGGTATTGATTAACGAATCCGTTTCATTGTTTTTTTATAGGCCGCAGCAAGGTGCCGATAATTTCTAGTTATTATATTATATAAAGCTCAATCCATGTTACTGTTGCCTATACTTTTGCTCTCATTGGTTCTTTTTTTATGCATATGTTTTCCCATTTTAAGATTTTGCAACTTCCACATAATCCATAATTGTACTTTTTTGTATGAGATATTTGGATTCACACCTGTTCTAAAAAATATTTCTCAATTTGAGAGTTGTGAACTTCTGATAATGTTGTAACTTTGGAAATAAATTTGCAACGGTGGTATCCACCCGAATCTGACTTAATCAGATAGGGTAAAATTCAAACTCGAGTGATTTTTAGTGGGTGTGAAAAAATTTGAATCCGAATATTACATCAATGGATGGCCATGATTTTCTCACTATGCAACCCAAATATGCTCGATTATACACATGCATATGTTCTTTTTCCTAGAAAGCTCATTATTTTTCTCTATAACCTTGATATTTATTATACATATATAATATTTTCGTGCAGTTGTTTTGTTTTAACTAATTTGCTTCATTTTAGTGATTTTTATTGTCGTACGCAATGTCATTATACGAGTGAATGTTAACATGTTGGTTAGATTTATATATAAGGAAAAATTATTACCCATGGATAACACGTGAAAACCCGAATCATCGAAAATTGGCTTGATTTTAATTTTCTCCTCGATTCTTCTGTGAGTATGAGTAAAACAAACTATTCTAGGTAGGATAATGAATATGCACTATCCGCCCCCAACACGATCGTTTTCCATTCCTAATTTTCATTAATCCGTATATGTTATGTCATCGTATTAGACTAATGTTACCAATCAAACTTCAAAATTAGATTAAATTTTTTGATAAATAAACTTCAAAATTAGATGTCTTAAGATTACTTTTAAAATTAGGTGAATAATGTTTACGCATTTTTGTAATGTAAGATGTAATGATGTTAGGTTATTAAAACAAATAATACACACAAATGACTAACCAACAAAGTAAAAAATTAAAAATCAACCGCAGGCCGTTGCAGAGCTCGGCCGCCACCTAGCTAGTTATATATAAACCTAAACCTAATGCCATTTTACTGTTCACTAATAGTTTTGTCTTTTTTAGTTGAAATTTGAAACAAATACAATTACACTCAGCAAACTTGAGGAGGGAAAAGTTGGATGGCTGATAAAGTTTCTTTTTTTTTTTTGCATTAAGGGGAGGCCGTAGCCGAGCAAGAGAAGAAAAGGTTACAGAGTGGAATTAGAAGTGGAAGGTCGAACAGCAACGTGGCGCTCGAAAGTGGCGCCTCGGAAGTCATCTCGAAGAAGGGCCTCTAGACCGAGGGGTGGGCTAGCAAGCTCATGCATACCGTAGGGATAGACGAGACTGTGCTTCGAGAGCTAGTTCGCGACTCTATTCCCTTCCCGGTATACATGAGTAATGTTAACCAACCAATCCCTGCCCAGTTTCCTGCGGATGCTAGACAGAAGAGTAGCGTACGGGTGGAGAGGGTCATCTCTGTTCTGAATGAGCTTTACGGCCAACTGCGAGTCCGATTCAACTTTGACTGCTCTGCATCCAAGTCTCCAAGCCAATTCCAGTCCATGATTGATTCCCCAAATCTCAGCAAGAGCCGCCGTGGCCAACTCCAATATTTGCCACAAAACCACCCACCCACAAGCCAGTGGAGCCTCTGATAACTCCTCCAGCACCTGCCGGGCCCGGGTTCCCATTAGAAGCCCCATCCACATTTAAAGTCACCCAACCTTCCAGCGGGGGGGACCAACCTATGTTCTCCCATTGCCGAGCTGCTGGGCGCGCACGGCTGTCCGGAATCAGTGTAGGCGCGTGCCAGGAGTCGTGCCACATCTTCGCCTTGGTCATGATGGAGTGCTCCAGAGTAGGAGCAGAGAGGGCAGTTGTCTTGCCTCGAAGGGCAGCCGTACACCTGTTCTTGCAGAGAAGCCAGGCAGCCATGCTGAAGAAGGCCGGCCAGCTAATGTCAGACGCCATCAATTCTTCTTCTAGCAGGTTCTTGCGGAGCCAGTCTTCCTGCGGGTCGCTGAAGAAGTTCTGCTGGCGCTGGATAGGGACATGGCGGGACCAGAAGAAGAGGGCTGGAGGGCAATCCCTGAGGATGTGAAGGATCGACTCCGGCTGGTTGGTGCATTGATCGCAGCAAGGGCTCGACGCAATCTTCCTGCTGTAACGGAGAACATTGGTAACAATCTTCCCCAAAAATGTCTGCCACATGAAAGTTCTGATCCGCTCCGGCACCGGAAGGCGCCAAATGGTCTTCCAGATCTTCTCGCTTGGGTCCGGAGGCCTTTGGGTGAGCAAAGCGAAAGCCGATTTGGTGGAGAAGCGGCCATCTGCAGTCCCCGACCAGAACAGCCGGTCCTCCTCCTGAGAGAGCTTGCCAACTGCAATACTCAGGATTTTTTGGTGGATCTCGCTCGGAAGGAGGTTACTGAAGAGCTCAGTACGCCAGCTTCCGTCAACACCAGTGAAATTTGCGACTGCTGCCTCCTCCAGATCTGGAGGAATATCGCCAGTGACCATCTCCTTCAAAGGAACCTGTAAAACCCACGGATCAAGCCAAAACTTAGTGCCTTTACCATTCTTAATATTCCACGCACATCCTTTATTAAGGATGGAAGAAGCTTTGGCCAAGCTGGCCCAGGTAAAGGAACTTCCCTTGACTGGCTTGATCAAATTGAGGCCTTGCCTCTGTCTGCCGTACTTCGCTTGCATTACTCGAGTCCACAAAGTATCTTTCTCCTGAATCATGCGGGATGGCTGATAAAGGTTAGCTAATGACGAAACAAATTGTGAGATAACAAAATAATTGTGGAGGTAAAAGTTGGATGCCTCGTAAAGGCTAGCTAATGACAAAAGAAATTGGGAGATAACAAAAATAAAACAAGGTATTACAAAAAGAGACATCAAAATAATTTTTAATTAGAATTAAACAAGACAAGAATTTGAAGAGATCCGTAAAATTGTGAATAAATTACAATATTGAAGTGAATTTTTCGGTCAATTATGAACTAGACAATTGTTTGAGATTGCGTGTTGAATCACAAAATCACTCGGATTCAGTACTCATTGTTGGTTAAATGTTTTTCCCAAATATATTGAACAATTAAAAAATATTATGGGAGGTACAAATTTAATAAGGACTTAAAATATCAGTAATAAAACAGTTATAATATTTTATTGGTTCTTGAATTTGGTTGGTCAACTGTGAACTAGCCGACTCTTTGCGATTATACGTGAAGGTATGGAATTTTAAAATGAGTTCTACGTTTTATTCCCTTTGCTTCTCTCTTGACATTTCCTCACCATATTAGTTAGGATTTTCTAAAATTATACATTAAATTTTCACCTATGTTTATACATATAAAATAAATTATCATCAAAAACCATTACCTCAACATTTTCCAACTTGAGGTTGATGTGGTATTTTTTCATTATTCAAAATTAGTTCAACCAATTGCGTTTCTCGTCGAGAACTACAAATACCTGGATGTCCATGTAGGCTTTAACTGACCACACATGCCATATGACTTTAGGTCTAAGTAGCCTATATAGGTTTACTTAGTTTGCGAACTAAACTCGTCCGGATTACAATAAAAATAGGGTCAGAGTATAAATCAATTATATCACTTGTGTTTGGTAACATCCATGGTTTTTTGATAAATATTATTCGCTTTCACGGTTTTGAAAAAACAAATCAAAAAAAAATTACCATCGTAAATACATCACCATAAAGAGAACGACATCTGAATGGGCAACCACAACAACCCTGTAGTTGACCAACTCGCGGCAATGCGCGTTCCCCGGCTAGTATTAATAAATTTGTGACTTTGGTAAATTGTTTTTTGCGGTTAACCACAAACTGACCGCACCGAACCACAATTGTTAGTGGTTAACCACTAATTAATCACAATGTTACACTTTATGGTTAGAGTATTTAGAGATTTGTGGTGGTGGTAAACCACAAAATGTGGTGTGGCTTACCACAACCGCACCGACTTCCCCTCCAAGTTACCATTACTGCAACAAGGGAGTGAAAATATGAATATAGAGTACTCCGGGATACTTAAAGGCAAAGAGCTTTGTTGTTGGTACTTAGGTCACATAATTCGTGGAGGAGGGGTCGACGCTCCCGCTCTAGAACACGGAAACGCGAATTCCAAAGGATTCACACAAAATTCGCGAATTTCTTTTTGTTGGAGCGCGAACTTCGTAAGCTAATTCACGTATTTCTTTTATATAGACAGTTCGGTAGGGAAATCGAGGAAGGAGTTCATCGATTTGGTGAGGGAGATGAATCCCTGGTTGGTTGCATGAAGGAAGTCGGAAGGGAATTTGTTGATTTGGGAGGTTTTGGACTACGCAGGGAAAGATATTTTGTTGGCAATTAACAGTATCGCAACCCGAGTTCAAATATGAGCTGACTTGCTAGCGTTTCTGGGAAATTGGTGGGAGGCGAAGCTCATCTGTGTTTTGAAGATTGAAAGGCCCTTGGGAGAAACCAGAGATTTTACAATGTAGAAGAAGAGGGTGTTGATCGATGATTATGGGATGTGGTAAGGGAAGTATTAGATAAGAGCCGAAAGTAACAGATCTGGGACGCCGCCTGCTGTCTAGGTTGACGAAGGAGAAAGGGAGGAAGTGGCAGTTGCAGGGGAGAAAGAAGACCAGCTTCTAGAAGAGAGAGATCGGTAACGATGACAATTGACAAGCTTGAAGAGTTGAAATGGTGGGTTTTTAATTTTTTTTATTATTATAATGGGCTTTTATTTAATAATTTTATGGATCAACCCCATTTTAGAAGAAAAATAAATTTCCACCCACTAAGTTAAGAGAAAAAAATATGGCTCTTACTATAAACTAATAAGAGTTCATTTGAGTTAATTTTTTAGTTATGATATAACAACATTATCTATAATTATTGGTTTGAATTATAAATAATATAATATAATGACGCTCTCTTCACACTCTCGATATAAAATTCTCTATCAACAAACACTTTCACGCTCTCGCTCTCGTTCCAGCTTCCGCTCCCGCTCTACGAACTGGTACTACCAACAAGAAATGGTTGTGAATAGAGAAGTATGGAGCCCCACTGGAATCAATGTATATATACAGAGAGTTGCAGACCAAACCAAGGCTGTAGTGATGGAAACGGTACAGAAGATAGAAAGACGAGATATAAGTAGTGCAAGTACTCTTATTGGTGCACAGATTAATTCCTTAGACATCACAACCAACTAATAAAGGCTTTCCATTCCGACCCATTCAGTTAATTAATCAGCCCATTTTCTTCTCATTTGTTTGTTGAAATAAGAACAAGCTAGCATAGCCACGTGCCTCATTTTTTTTTGCACCCAGTGCCAACTTTTTACTCGTTGGATTTGAAAAATGAGGGTTTTGGCCAACAAAAATTTTGGAATTTATGATGGATTTATTGGATTATGGATTTGAAGAGTCTAATGTTTGCATGATAGATTTGATGATGGATTTATTAAATAAATAACTAACCATCAAAGATTTGCAAATCCCAAATCAATATGTGGGATTTACAAGTCCGTAGGGTTCACGGATTTGGTTCCAAAATAAAGACCAAATTCGTGGACCCCACGGATTTAGCACCCTTCAACAAACAATGGACTTGTGTTAAATCCATTAAATTTGAGATTTGGGTACTAAATCCATGACCCAAATACAACAAGCAAACGACCCCTTAATTACGTACGTAGCATTCATTTGGAGTGGCCAATCGTGTCCATGACCCAAATATGAAAAAAATATTATTACTAAATGAATTTAATCATGCATAAAATATATTTGAAACAAATTTCTTGACAATTCATATTTAAATAAAATACGACATTTCAAATAAAATAAAAAATACTCATATTTAAATACAATATTTAACGTCAATATCTAAAAGTTTACACTCGAATTCAACAAATAATATATATATTTCACTTTTAACTACATAAAATAAATAATATATTTTATTTATCTATTTATTTATTAAATTCACTATAACGTCATCATTTTGCTTAGAGGTCGTAATCGATCATAACATTAATACAGGTGGTGTTCAATTTGGTTTTCCAATTAACATTTATTGAACTAGATTCAATCGGCCGGCATTCCACGGATGCCAGTAAGTTCAACCGGCCAGCATTTCATCGGCGGCGTGACGACCATGTTAGTACGTACCTGATGGAGAAGGAAAAGATACCGCCGCAGTGGGGTGTATGGCGGGTTGCTAATGGAAAGTGGGGTGTCGACGAATCGATCCCTTTTCGCCAACAGCTAACGCTATTTTGGGGAGGCTATATATATATATAATTGATTAATTTCTAACTTCCCCTTGGCTAGCTTCCAGTAAGCACAATAAAGGGACGTGGTTTGGTTGGATGCATTAATATTGCGGTTGAGCATGTGGAATTCATAATGATATTCAAATAACAAGAAATTGAGGCAGATGATATCTTATGAAACTTTCTATCTAGTACTACTACACTATCTTATCTGTTTTTAGCTTATTTTCTTATGGAATTGAGAATCTCTAGTTTGAGTGATTATGGTACTAGTCACTAGGTTACAGAGTCCGAATCTGATCTCAAAATGGTTAATTCGGATAAATAAGAACCCACAACGTTCCATTAGCATGATTTTGACGTGTAATTGGTTTTATGTGTTGAGTTTCGATGATCTTGCGTTAAATTAATAATGAAGAACTACAAAAATTAATAAAACTGCAACTAAATTACTATTATAATTACTTGACTTCTTATTCACGGAGAAAACGTAGAGGAAAGTACAAATTTATAGGAATAATTTCATAAATTATTTTTCTCTCAAACAAGACACACAGATCATAAAACACATAAGTAAACAATAACATAATAAGCAAGACACAATTAATAATACGGAAATACTTAACAATAATACTTATTCGCCCACCTGGCACGATGCTCATCAAATGCATCAGATTATTCATAATTAAGAAAAACATCCCATCCCATTGCATTATTTATTCATTCGGAACTTTTCGGCTTCTTTCTGACCATGGAGCAGCTTGAATTCATTGGTCTTCCAGCTTAGGCTTCTATTTTCATATGGGTAATGAAGCCTCTGTCTTTGCCGTCGAGTTTCATTTGCCTCGAAATCTTCTTATAATCACGGTGGGATATAGATTTATAATTTGGTGCTTGTTTCTTTTGATCCTTGATGAGAAGGTCTGGTAATGGTTCAACCATGATGTTCATGCTTGGGTCGTGAAACGATGCAATTGATAGCCTCTCATTTTTATCGTTCACTAATGCTCTGTGCTCTATGCTCTTGTATTCTCCATTGGTGATAATCTGTGATCAATGCATTTCCAATGTTATTAAAATAGAAATGAATTATTACAATTGATCTGAGTTTTGATATCATTACCTCAAGCATATCCCCGATATTGACGATGAATGCGCCTGGAAGAGGATCAATGGGAACCCATTTCCCTTCTTTCATGACTTGCAGACCTTGTGCTTGATTCAGTCGAGTCAACAGAGTCAATCCAGTGCCGTCGGCATGTGGGGCAATACCGGTGACCTTGCTAGCTTGCTCACATGGCGGATAGTAGTTCATTCTCAGGCTTTGCACACCGTCGTCGAACAAACTGAGCAGCTTTTCTGGCTCCACTCCCAAGTTCCTAGCCATGGAAACCATCAACCTTCTAGCCGCCTTTTCCAGCTCTGCCGCATACTTGTCGAGAGTTTCCCTAGTGGAACATGGACAAGCCACAACGTTTGGTTAGTGGGTGATAGAGAAGGCTAATTTAGGAGTAAATTAAGACATGTATATATTCATTTGGCTAGCTAATTGATATGGAAAGGGAACAAACCTGAAAGAAGCGGGATTTTTCGGCCAGAACCTCATTCTTCTTTCATTGATAGGCGTTGCGTTGATGAACAACATGTCACCCCAATCAAGTGTTTGCTGTTCCGAAAAAACAAAAGCTTGGCCGTATCCTTCCATGCCAGTTGGCAGTTGTGCATATTCCATTTTTTCTTGCAACGGTAGGCTGAAAAACTCTTGAATATTCTCCGTCATCTTGGTAATCACCTCGTCGGCAACCCCATGATTGATCACCTACTTTTTGCCATGATATCAATCTCTCTTTTTTTTTTTTTTTTTATAAAGTAGTATAATGGCAGATTGCTAAAATAGCATAATTCATGGAATCCACATTTAACAAACGGGAAAGACCAAAATAGCGAGAACATATGTACTACACAAACAAAATATTAAGGATTTGGACGAGTCGTACCTGAAAGAATCCCCATTCCTTACAAGCCGAATGCAGTCTAGCGGACTCCTCCTTGTCATCGCCAACGAGCTTGCTCATGTCGATGACTGGAATTTGACCAAACTCACCATTAGCAACTTGTTCCAGCTCGCGCTCTGGTCGTATGTACCTAGCCGATACATCCTCCGAGACCGCAGCCAGCTCTTGAACATTGGGAACGGGAAGAGACCCTCCAACTTCCAGGGAGCTCGATTGTTCAACATCGGGAACAGGAACAGGAACAGAATCTCCAACCTCTTGGGAGCTCACCTCTTGAACATTGGGAACAGGAAGAGAGTGTTCAACATCCTTGGAGCTTGCAGCAAACTGATGAGCATTGGGAAAAGGAAGAGAACCTCCAACCTCCATTGTCGCCGCCATTTCAAAGAACACGCTTCTTCTTATGGAAATAGGAGATTATTAACCTTCCTTATCTCACAACAACAGGTATATTTGGCTCTCTCTCTCTCTCTCTCGGGTATGGTTTGTATCACAAAGGCTACCGCGGCAGGCTTTATATAGGCAGCTCAATATCACTTATCACGATGACACTGTAGCCGGCGCATCTCAGCAAGAAAATTCCGGAGGGGCATAATCGGAAACCAACCACTCTTTTCTTTGCTGGAAAAAGACCTTGAGTGGGAAACTACCACAAGTAGAGGACGAGTCGACGGCAGTTGTAATGGTCCTCCACGAAAAAGATGTCTTAATTGGACGATCAATCATGCATGAAATATAGACCAAACACTTTATTAGAGCAAAAGATTGGCTGCCTTTCCTAGGTCACATATATAGTTTTGTCGTTTTACAAAAGAAAGCATTAATGATCTTTCTCCTCACCTCAAAGAGGAACTCTTGATTCGCGACGTTACATGTTCCTATCAGTCCTAGCTAGCTGGAGATGGTGGTCCAGAAGTTCTTCTTCTTCATTCATCGTCTCATGGTCAATCAGTCTTAGCTCAAATAATTAAGACTAACTGTGACATGAATTCCGCCAAATCCATAATTAAGACTGTCCCAACCATATAAGTAAGCTCAGCCATTCACACGTACACCTTTTATTCGGCTTCTGTTTTGGGGGAAATACCTAGGGCTAATTCATTTTGATAATTAAGCTTTCTTTGCTGAAAAGAGTTACATACTTAGTTGATTAGATAATTAAAAGGTTAATATTTTCGTATGGCCTGAACTTTGACCAAAATAAACATCATGTCCAATCTTTTCGATCTATAACATCCTGATCCGAACTATACACCAAAATAAACAATTTGGCCAAATCCGACTTTTGACAGTTAACTTGGACGGTCAAACGCGTTGACCGTTAGTCAACGCGCCATGTCACTGCCAAGTCAGCATAAAATATTTAAAATAATTCACAATTTCCACACATTCCTTAATTTTAAATTATTATAAATTAAAAAAAATCATCTAATACCTTAGTTAAAACACAAATAAAAAACAAAAAAAAATTAAATATTTATCAGATCTTCTGACTTGGCAGTAACGTGGCATTGACGTGGCGCGTTGACCGTTAGTCAACGCGTTTGACCGTCCAAGTTAACGGTCAAACATCGGGTTTGGCCAAATTGTTTATTTTGGTGTGTAGTTCGGGCCAGGATGTTATAGATCGAAAAAATTGGCCAGGATGTTTATTTTGGTCAAAGTTCAGGTCATACAAAAATATTAACCCTAAGTAAAACGCTCAAACTATTAATAGAAACGTTGTGTGCACAGCTGTTGTCTACATTAGAAAAGTAGGTTATTCACTACAACATAAAATTACATTAGTAAATTGTTAAGACATATATAAAATAAATGTTTTAAATTTTGATTTGATGGAACTGAAAAATTATTATTCATTTTATAATCAATTTTCATTTATTTATAGTAAATGAAATGAACAATTGCTAATAATATATATATATATATATATATATATATGATGATGTGGTATACTCCAGAATTATAGTATACTCACTACAAGAAAAATAACCTTTAGCGACAAAATTTTGCGGCACATAAAGTAATTGTCTCCTAAAATATGTTATACTCGACTAATATATTTTCTGTCTCTGAAATTAAACTTATTTGTCTCTAAAACTATTATTTTATATTTAAATTTAATTTACTTGAAATATCATATATAGAGGCACATTTATTGTAATTTTCCTTTAAAGTTTTGTTCTCTTATTCGTGGAAAAATGGATTTTATTATTAATGTCAAATTTATAAATTTTGGAGGCAGAAAGTATTTTGCTGCTACATTAACATTTTTATAGGCTAAAATAATGGTTGTGATTGCTTCTTCAATTAATATATAAAATTATACTTCATTTACAAAAAATATAAAATGTGCCTATTGTACTTCAAATACCAGCGATTAGGTTTGTCTCCGTATGACTTATATCTGCCTCCAATTATTAAATATTTTTATTGTTATTTTGAATTAGTTGATATTCATTCGTCCTCCAACTTGTAATTGTATGTAACATCTCGAACATTTTCCCGACAAAAATACTGTTCGCTTTGGGCCTCTACATCCGCACAGATTTCGAGTTTGGAGTGCAATTCAGGGTAACTTTCCATAAGGTCACCCATCCTTGTTGTACTCCACACTAAGCATGTTTAACTTCAGAGTTCTCACAAGAACTCCTCTATTACACCCCAAAACGCGTCTTGTCAATTAAGGTCGGTTTCTTACTTATGAACCATGGATCTCTCCCATGCTTTGTCTATCTGAGATTTGCCTAAGATGTTACATACACGGCTGCAAAAACAACACTTCTCTTATATGATGGGCGAAATGAAAAACGTGACAGATTCTGGAAATGAAGAAGGAAACCATTATTAAGAAAGAACTCCAACACTTGGCTCTGTTGTTCCGTCGTGCCTTCCTGGCTCTGCTGTTCCATTGTGCCTTCCGGGCTTCAATAGCAGGCAGCGACGACCCGCCGTGGGCGCGAGCACGGGCGGGCTTTTCGGCGATTTCGAGCAATTTGTAGAAGTTCGCGTAGCTGAGATCGGGATCCTCCCGGTGGCTTTTGGTGATGTATTCCCGGTGGGTTTTGGTGGGGATTAGAAGAAATTTGATTTTTATTTTCTATTTTTTAAATGTGCAGTGAAGTGGAAAATTTAAATTATTAAAATTTAATTTTTATTATTTTTTAATTGCCACGTCAGACATTTAACAGTCAATTTTGAGAGTTGACCGCCACGTAAGCAAAAGTTAACGGAGTTGAACGGAGAGTGACCAAACGTGATCGGTTTCAGTAAACTAAAGTACCACCAATAGATTTAAATATTTCGAGTGACCAAACTTGAACGTTTTTTGTAATCTCAGTGACTAACCATGCAATTAACCCTACGAATTACTATAACACGGTCCCATATCTTCCTAACTCAATAATTGGGCAAGATGATATAAGACTTTTTGATGGCATAATACTTTTTTTTTCTGTAAATTAGAAAGTGAAATTTTATATGCTTATTATTATTAGTACAAATCACTTGTCCTATTATGTGGCAATGACGTCGGTGGCAGGAATTATGGTACCATTATATCATCAAAATTGGAATCTGAGATAACAAATTAAAGGTGTGTTTATGGATAATGAAGACAAGCTCGGTTTTTGCATCACGTGTTTTGCAGCAGAGTATTCTTTATGGGCGTCAGTTATTGGAGATGAGTTTGCGATGGAGGTTGGTAATGGCCAATCAGTCTCCCTCCTCCATGCTAACTGGATCCCTAGGTGCCAGCTAGATCCCCCATGCTATAATCCTCGGATCTTGCCTGAGGGGGGTGATCCCTTGGTGGCGGAAGTTATTGGAGAGGGGGGAGGGAGTTGGTATGATGAGAAGCTCAGTCAATGGTTTGATCCGCCCACTTGTAAGGCTATTAAGGCTATTCCTCTTCCGCGTTGGGATGTGCCTGATAGACTTCTCTGGCATTTACGACTGACGGGGTTTTCTCGGTTAAGTCGGCGTACCATTTGGTTGTCGATTTGGACAGGAAGAGGGGTGGGTGGCGATCCTCGGTTAGCTGGATGGATAAGCCAAGTTGGATTAGAGTTTGGGAGGCGAAGATCCCTCCGAAGATGAAGGTTTTTGTTTGGCAAATTCTTAATCGGGCTCTGCCGACTACAGAGGCACTTATTGAGAAAAGGTCCAGGTGCTACCTCGGTGTCCAGTTTGTTGGGATGGCCCGGAGACAATGGAACACATGTTCCTCTATTGTCCGGTTGCGCGGGCTCTCCGGGATTATTCTGGGCTGGAATACTTGGGGGAGGGTTTGCCTTGGCATACTTTTCCTTTGTTTCTCAAATGTCTGTTGGCGTTGATTCACCAGCCGGCAGTGGTTATGGCTGTTGTTGCCGCCCTTTGGAGAATCTGGAGATCTCGAAATCGAGTAGTCTTTGAAGGCAAACAATTTGGGATCCCAGCACTCATGCGACAATTTCACCAGCAGTTTGAGGAATGGGTGGGTCTACCTGTGGACCAGACGCCTAGGGTGCAAATCCTGATGATGCAACCGACAACACAAGTGGGTGATTCCCATTTGGTTTGCATGTGGGACGGGGCCACTAGGAGTGGGTCGCATTCGGCTGGCGGGATGGTTCTTTTTGACCCAGAGCGGACACTCCTTCTGGCTAGGGGGTCCAGTTTTCTCATATGGATGATCCTGTAGTGGTGGAGTTGCTTGTGCTCAGGGAAGCTATTATTTGGTGTGTGGAGCAAGGTTTGTCGGAAGTCCGATTTGAGGGTGATGCAAAGGTGATTATTGACAAAATTAATCAAGCCGACACAAGAGATAGCCGGTTGGGTGCTATTCTGGAAGAGATTAGACATTATTTTCGTACTCAGACTGGCTTTAGTGTGCGATTTGTAGGTCGGGATAACAATAGGGTAGCTCATTTGGTGGCTAGGAAAGCCCTCTCTTTGTATCCGACTATGAGTCGCTTCTTTGATTCCCAGACCTGCCTGATTTTCAGGGTGTAACTGTCTATTTATCCATTCAATATATGATATCTTTTGACAAAAAAAAAGTAATAAATTATTATTAGAGTCACGTGGAGTAGGAATTACTAATAATTATGCAAATTAAATCCATCACGTGAGTTTAGAGCACTTCTACTATGCTATATAGTATTGGTGCTTTAATGTACAACTTAAAGTTGTACCATAACATTAAATGTATAAGTTTAGGTCGTGCCATAAAGCAATTTGTACCATTATGTTATGGTACAACTTTACAACTTGAAGTTGTACCATCACATAAAGGTACAAGTTCAAGTTGTACCATAAAAGAATTTGTACAAAAATTATAAGTACAATCTGAAGTTGTACCATAACATAAATATACAATTTTAAGTTGTACCATAAAGGCAAAAACCTATAGCATCAATACTATATAGCATTGTAAAATTTCTCTGTGAGTTTATGAACAAAGTCCCAATTGTCAACAACACAAAGTAAGCAATGGTTTAAGATTGATTGATAAAATGAGTAATTTAATCACAGAAACAAATCACAAAATCTTAAAAAGGGAACTCAATAGAGAAAGCTCTAGCAAATTTCTGATTTCGTTAACATTAAATCTATAAAATATAATAATTATTTTCTATATTTACACTTTATGATTTTATATTTTCAGACTTCCTATGCATTCACATTATCATTATATCCACATTAGCGTTCTTCCCACCGATAAGGTTTTTCTTAACTCCTTTTGTTCTTTTAATTTCTTATTTACTTTGTACATCTAACTGTTTAAATTGAAATAGTAGTTTCATTATTTTTAATTTTAATATTTAAGTAATCCAATGAGAATGTGTCACCTAGCACTCCCTCTCTCTTCTTTTTTCAATTTTCCTATAATTCTTAACCAATTGCTTTATTTTGGTTTTCAACTCCAAATTTAGATATTTGTGCATAAAATATCAGATTTTATGTAATCTATATAATTATATGCATTTTGATGTATGCTGAAGAACAAAATTCAAAAACATGGTCACTATCGTATACTAATTAATGAGCCACACTTCTATTCAGCAATTACTAAATTATATCAATACCATTGAACACTACCATCGTACACGAATCACCCATGTATTTTCATAATTCGTGAGACATGTTTTTTATTATTATAATAAGTTAGTAAACTATATAAATGTTTAATTTGTATTATCATCATAGACAAAAATTTCATTCGTGTTAAAAAACTTTATCATGAGACACAAGCTAAATTATCTTTAAAAAAAATCATTTTATGCCCAACTTATTGGGCTCAAAGATAGTGTTATAATAGTGTCTATTAATGAAGTTAATCACATAACTCCACGACCAATTAAGATAATCTGAATTATGACTCTCCCTTTCATGACTTATCACGTACTATTAAAAATTCATACGCACTGCTCTCGGTAGGCAATACGAACTATGAAATAGTCTAAAGATATGTTCATAAATTTATTTCCACTCTCTGCTTCAATAAATTATTATGTTGGTGTGCTAGTGTTAAATCTCTAGGTTCCCGTCTATGTACTCAATAAAGAAAACATATCATTAAAATTGATGATCAAACACTTTAAAGCATTAAGCATAGCAACACACCATAGAATTAGAACAGAAAAATAGATCAACTATAATCAATAAGTAATAATTTAACTCAATCCTTTAAATTCTCTAGAAGCAGGAAATTAGCTCATAATGGAAATAAAAACTATAGAAAATAAATAAACATTATGAAATAGGAATAATTATAGCAAATATATTAAGTACTAACTATAAAGTATCCAGGTAGCTAGATGGGTAAGGACGACAGGATTTAGTTAACTCAAAATCACTTGACAAAACAACTGTCCACCTCAAATGAATTGAACACATTAAATCATATAAATCAAACCCCACTCAACTGGGCGAACCAATTGTCCACCTCCTCGAAACAAAGTACTTGACTATTAAATAACTAATTAACATAAACTAAAAGCAAAAACATATAATTAAGACAATCCATGCATGCATAATCACATGAATGAAAAGAAAGGAAAATAAGTACTTATCATGAAAACCAAAGGAAAAGCAACATGAACATAAGAACAATAACCCACGTTTATTAAAGGAAAATAATAATAGCCAAAATAATTAACTAAAATAAAGTGGAATAGAGACGATCGCAGAAGAAATCACACATATGGGTCTTATTCCTACACAAAGTATACCCTCCCTCATTTCAGTACCATCGCAGAGATAACGTGTATGTCAGACTATACTTAGGGAAGTTAAGATTGAACATGCTTTTTGCAAAACAAACTTTATAGCAGATCATCTAGGTCTTTTTTTTTTTTTTTTTATTATGTATTTCAGGCTCTGAACAATATACTCTGTTATTGGTTGTACTATGATCGAGTTGGTGTTTTTACTTACCCTCCTCTATGACCACACACTTTAATGCTCTCTTCAATCCGCCAGCTGCTTCGTCTGCTCCACTTACTGCACGGAAAACCAATCTCCGACTTGCTAGCTTGAGGAGGATTCATTTGCTTCTTCCTCCAGTTACGTGTCCATGTCCTTAAGCTATCACATAATCCCATATTTACCACGTGCATGTTCCTTTTTTTTTCCCCCCAAAATATCTAAGTCCTTCCACGTGCACCCACAAATTTCTAGCTTTCAACTAATGTTTAGGAAATCCTACTTTACCGGTAAGTTCCACCCAAATACCAGATAACGAACCCAAAATAAGAGGGAGTTTAGCGATCGTAAATGATTGAACCACAATTAAATTGCGATTTTATTACAAATTATATTATCATTAACTTTTTAAAAAGAATCTCTTGTACGGTTTGACAAACCTTGCTCTCAACTTGCACCAAAACTGTCAATTTAACAAACTAAGCTATAAGACACAAGGATTTAACTTGGTTTCCCTGAGTGTCAAGACTAGTCAACGGGAGAGATCAACTCTCCAAGATCAAACTCTTATTCACTTTGGTCTTTACAGAGTACAAAATTCGACTATTTATCGGCTTGCTAGAACAACCCCTAACTACATAGGCAGCAGACATATATACAAAATGGTACTTAAACAATCACAAATCAACACCCTCACTCAAATTGATGTTGGGTGCGCAACATCAATTTGGATGAAAGGTGCCAATGTCGACTAAATGTCAATGCTTTTGTCAAAACATCAGCAGTCTAATCTTCAGTAGATAAATAGTCAACCTGAACGATCCCCTCATCAATCAACTGGCGAATGTAATGAACATGAACCACGATATGCTTTGTTCTGTCATGTAGAACTGGATTTATGGCAATCTGAATAACACTGGTATTATCACCATAAAGTCGCATAGGAAGTTTACATACTAAGCCCAATTCGCCGAACAACCGATGAAACCATTCCATTTCCGACCTCACCTCTGACATAGACCGATACTATACTTCTGTAGATGACTTTGAGACCTTATCCTGCTTTCGACACCGCCAAGATATAAAAGACTGTCCACACAAATACACCAACCAGAAGTGGAACGTCTTGTATCCTTGCATCCGGCATAATCAGCATCTGCAAAAGCTTCAACAACCGGATCTCCTGAAGTGGGAAAGAACAAACCAACATCCTTTTTCTACTTCAAATAACGAAGCAACCTGTGCACAATATCTAAATGCATTGTCCGCGCCACTCCCATATACTGATTGACCACTTGAACTGCATACGAGATATCTGGCCGAGTATGAGTCAAATTGATCAAGCTTCCACCAAGCTACGGTTTTCCGATTGATCTTCTAGCAAATCCCCACTCTCATGTTGTAAACGCATATTCTGCTCCATGGGAGTAGAGCATGGAACACAAGCTGTATTGAGCCATTTCTAGCAAATCGGTTATGTACTTTTTCTGAGACACAAATGACCCATGTGCTGAACGTTGAACCTGCAAACCAAGAAACTACTCCACATCACCCAACTCCTTAAGATTAAAAGACCGATGAAGCGATGTCTTATGATCCGCAATTCCTTTTGCCTCACTTCCCGTGACCACCATATCATCAACATAAATGAGTAAGATAATGATCCCATCCACTGTATTACAAATAAACAGGGAGGGATCATTATGGCTCTGGGAGAAACCTTCATGAATAATAGTACTCTGAAACTTCTCAAACCAAGCACGACGTTAGGGGTGGTAATCGGTCAGTATCCGGTATACCGGATACCAAGTTACCGGTATACCGGATACTGAGTTACCGGTATTCGGTATACCGACAATTGAAATTCTGTCGCCGAATACCGATATCGAAAGTTATTCGGTATACCAAATACCAGATAGTAGATTACCGGTATTCTAACCGGTATTACCGGATACCGGATTCATGATCGTGGATTGGAGAATGGATGTGTAAGAGGCGTCGCCGAGAGTGTAGGTGAGGTGAGAAATTGATGGAGCAGCGGTTTTGGAGTAGTGATCATGAACGCACTTGACAAAATCTTGATTGCTAGCAGCCAAGTGCGCGCCCAAAATTGCAGGAGGAAGTCGATCGTTGAGGACTGTTGCTGGTGGTGAAGAGGAGAGGACGACGGAGATGATGGGGGCGGCGTAGCTCTCCGTCAGCGACTACTGTAGGTGGCGACTGCTGCAGCTTCGGCAACAACTGCGGCTGCTGGACGCTGGTGGAGTGGTAGTGAAGAGAAGAGGAGGCTGCTGGAGTAGAGGGTGGGATGTTGGAGGTGGCGGCCGGGGCTGGGGGCGGCGATCAGAGGAGATGGTTGGCTGTTGGGGGAGGGACGAGAGTGAGGGAGGTGATCGATTGAATTTTGAAATTAGGGATTTAGGGCTGGGTTGGGTTGCTCGACGGTAGAGACCCCAAATCGGCAAATCCAATTTGCAATTCCGTCAAACCCTTCCCCCTGTGCGCTGTGTTTTGCTTCTTCTTCTTTTTTTAATACTCGGTATACCGGTATACCGTCGATATTTAACGATTATTATCCGGTATTACCGAATGGAAAATTACACGTCTGAATACCGATACTGGTTTATCGATTAGCACCCCTTCACGAGGTGCTTGTTTGAGACCATACAAGGACTGAACAAGCTTGTAGACCATACTGGAATCACCCTTCGTATACCCGGGAGGTTGTTCCATATAAATTATTGTTTCCTTGAGATCCCCATGAAGAAAAGCATTCTTCGCATCTAACTGAATCAATGGTCATCGCCGCATAGCTGCAACAGCAAAGACACATCGTACAATCTGCATCTTAACTACGAGAGCAAATGTCTCCTCATAGTCAATACCATATTCCTGTCGAAAACCTTGTGCCACCACCCTGGTCTTAAACAGATCAAGAGTGCCATCCGAATGCATTTTTACATTATAAACTCATCGAATGCCAATAATAGAAAAGTCATGTGCTCGTTTCACCAAATCCATGTATGAGTAGCTTCAAGGGCGCTTTTTTTTTTCTCGCATCCCCTTTTCCCAACGAGGGTCTCCTTTAGCTTCATCATAAGTTCTCAGCACAAATATAGGCTCAGCTGAAAAACCCACATAATCCTGCATATGAACATGTAGTTGTCCTAGCGTTGCTCGGGAGGAACGACGCAAAGGAACTAGTGCCTGATGAGGTGGAGAGTCATGTGGGTCATCATCAAAGCCGTTGGACCCGATGGAGCTACTAGACTGGTGATCAGATGAGGAAGAGTTACCTGAAGAGGAAGACTGCGAGATGTGCATGGTGAACGGAGTGAAGGGGGGTAGAATCACCCATGCTGCCTTCGGACGTTGCTGCATGCGGTACATGGGGCAATGGTTGATCAAAATTTGGCAAGGTTTTCGTAAGAAATTCCAATTATGAGGGAGCATACACCTCGTCACTAGCATCTGCATAAAACATAACTTGCTCCATAAAAACCACATGACAAGCAATACGAACCCGACGCTCCTGAGGATCATAACATGAATACCCTTTATGCATATCACTATATCTCTCAGGAATGCACACCGGGCTATCTTCGGAGAGAGCTTGTGTCGTTCTCGTCGAGGTAGTAACACAAAACAAACACATCCAAATACCGGCAATGCCGAATAATCAGGTAGCTTCCCGAACAAGACCTGATAAGGTGAACCCTGCCCCAAAACCGATGTAACCTGATGATTAATTAGATAAACCGTAGTGTGAACAGCTTCAACCCAGAACCAAGGTGGAACATTGGAATGAAACAAGAGAGCTCTTGTTAATTCAAGAACATGGCGATTCTTATGTTCTCCCAGTCCATTCTGTTGTGAAACTCCAGGACAGGACTATTGAGGAAGAATTCCCTCCAGTTTATAGAACGCAAGTAGCTCTTTGGATGAAAACTCACCACCAGGGTTGGATCACAGTAGCTTAATGGTATTTTCAAACTGTATCTTGACCATTTGAACAAATTCTTTCGCCAAAGGAGCCGGATCCGATTTTTGCTTAAGAAGGTAGACCCAGGTATACAGCGTAGCATGATCAATAAAGAGAGCAAAATATTGATACACTAACCGCAATAGTACTAGAGATGGGCCCCACAAATCTGTATGAACTAAGTCAAACAGACTCACATACACCGTGTCACTAGCTGCAAAAGAAATCTGTGAAGTCTTGGCTTCAATACAACTCACACACTGCGACATAAGAGCTGAAGCAGAATGAAATTTATAAGGAAATAAGTTTTTACAAAACATATTCAATAAACGATCCGAATGCGGATGTCCCAAACGACAATGCCACAAATCCCAAACCGAAGCTTTAACCAAAAATCCAAAGGTCTCACTGAATATCCCAAACAATTAGAATATCCAACAGGAGAAAACAGACCCATGCAATCCGAATTCTCAACTGAACAAGATAAAGAAACATCATCAATCCTTGGAAAACACACGGCTTCATTCCCTGCAACCGACCCACTGCACACACCTCGAACCGAGCCTTGCAATGGCAAGCCTTGCATCTCCTCCACAAAAACTCGACCCTTTTTACTTCCTTTCTCGAGCACCCTCCCCGTCTTCAGATCCTTCACAATACAACCGCCGGAATTAAAAGTAACTTCAGACCATTCCTCCACCAACTGGCCTACCGAAACAAGACTATGGAGCAATTGAGGAAGAAATAATTTCTCCGGTAAAGTAACCGCACCTGTCGTAGAAGTACCACACCCCTGAACAGGAAAGTGAGCACCATTAGCAACCTGGAGCTCAAGACGAGAAGTCGAACGGAGACTAGTAAATGAAGTACGAGTCGGGGTCAAATGATTAAAAGCGGCCGAATCAAGAAGCCAAGAAAGAGTCTTACCCGATGCAGCACCGGTAGCAAAGGCAGAAGTGAGAGCTTGAGGAAGAGCATCTTGAACAAGCTTGCGAATTAGTCTGGTGAAAAGGCAACCGCAGAAGATAGCCCAGAAGAGGATGCTGGCAGCACAAAAGAAGATGCGGGCAGCATAGAAGCCCCTCCAGCAGTAGACCCAGTAATCGCATACGCCGAGGAAGAGGACGAAGTAGCACCAGGCGAAGGAAGAAGTTTACCACGACGACTGAGAGTAGGGCACTCCAAAATAATATGACCAGACTTCTTGCAATGATTGCAAAAATTCTGTTTCTTGCAGTGAATTTGGATATGTGCAACCTCTTGACAAAAGTGGCAAGTGACCTCCCCGGAAGGTGTGCGTGTAAACTGCGGGCGAGAAGATGACGCACCCGGCGCCAACATCAAAATCAGACTCCGCTGAACCACCTACTTTATCAATTTGAGACTGACTTCTGAACCGAGTTTCCTCCCAAATAAGCTCGCCCAACACCTCCTCTAGCGAAGTGATCCCACAGTGAATGAGTGAGGCTCGTATCGGCTCAAATTCCCCAAGAAGGCGCTTCCCAGCAACAGAGTTCCAAAATTGGAACTCCCAATGAGGAAAATTCTTTCCATCAAACTTAATCGTAGCAGAATCAGACCTTGAGGGATCCATAATACAAGCACCACCAAACACGTACGAAATCACAAAGAAAAGCCGACGTCCGTACCTAGCAGCCAATGAATCCCACCAAATAAACCAATACCAACCCGCCATCAATAGTGCCGCAAACAAGCAGAAGACGAAGCCGACACACCAGACGGAAGAAAGCAATCACAAAACCCCTACTACTGCGACTCCACAAACAGCAGGACAAACAGAGAAGAGAGCACGCAAGGGAAAGACAGACCCACCACCTGCGACACGAACCCTACGACCAAGCTGCTATGATTCCGAACACGTCGCACCAAAGAGGAACGTCCCAATTAGCAACCTTGAGGCTCTGATACCATGCCAAACAAATTAACCTATAAAACACAAGGATTTAACATGGTTTCCCTAAGTGTCGGGTCTAGTACATGAGAGAGTCAACTCGCCAAGATCAAACTCTTATTCACGTTGGTCTTTACAGAGTACAGAATTCATCTATTTATAGGCATGTTAGAACAAGCCCTAACTACATAGGAGGATGACATATATACAAAATGGTACCTAAATAATCATAAATCAACAAAAACAGCAATTGTTAGTTGGGACGTTCAAATTCTGGTCCATTGCCCATTGGTACATTAAGCCCACGGATGCCGCAATCTCATCCTCACCGCACCAGCAATTGTTTGCTGAAACTTTTAAATTCGGGAGTTTGGACCACAATTATTGAGATGTGGGGAAGTGTTCGATTAAAAATCATAATCAATTGCACCAAATAGATTTCACGTAATTATATTGTCGTTGTTTGATATTTTTATTTTCATATTTACATTATTTCAACTGGAATTTAATAACTAAACTTATGTTAATCTTGTGATAGAAGATAAAAAAACCAAATACCACCAGTTCGAGTATTACTTATTGAGCTTTAACATTGAATATGTAGAAGTGAATTATAACTCTTAAATTATTATTACTAAAAACATTATCATAAAAATATCAGTGGCGGAGCTAGAAATCCAAACAAGGTGCTGACGTGAATTGTCGTAATTAGTGGAGCGGAGCTAAAGCCTTTTTTACTATTCTAATTTCTAAATATTGGCAAAATTTACATGTAATTTTGCTTATGCATCAAAATTGAGGGGGCTACAACCCCTCCTAATTTCAACCTAGCTCCACCACTGAAAATGATATTTTTGTGGAAAGACCAAAGACCGATTTTCTGAGTATTTTCTAGTATTATTCTTAGATACAAAATTTTCATATCAGGCCGTTGTCAATAAATATATTTTAGCATATAATCAACTCAATATCCTTTATCCTTCAACTAAATATGAACAATTACATTCCAAACAACCAACATGTACCAATACACCATAATACTTTATGTTTCAAAAAGTTGACCATACAAATATACGAAATTGTAGATCTTAAAATCCTTAACGCAACCTCATGAACAAAAATGAGAGATTCGACAATGTTGATGGTCGGTAATCTGCAAAATATGGTCGCACACATATTTAGTGACCAAATTGTTTTGGTAAAAAACTTTGGTCACATTTGCACCGTTAAGAAAAAACATATCCGACCAAAATTTTGTATTAGTCACAATACATGATGGTTTTGTGACAAAAAGTGATATTGGTTACAAAATAACTTTTGTGAGAAAAGTAATCAGCTAAAAGACATTCGCCTTAATTGTCGCAAAAAACGTAATTGGTTACAATTAATACAAAAACTATCAATTCATTTCCTCTCACCGACCAAATAATTAAGTCACAAAATCTTTTGTCTAAAACAAATAAATTTGGTTATCAACATATATATTCTTCACAACTACTTTAATGATATTTAGTGACCAAAAATTAATCGTTCGCTACTCATGCATCTGTAAATCGAACAAAAACTATCAATTCATTTCCTCTCACCGACCAAATAATTAAGTCACAA